CACATATTCCCCAGCTAACCCAGATTTCAAAGAACAGTTCAGCTTAGGGTCCTCTGCTTAGCCTCCTGTGCAGTCCTACATTCCTAGGCTGTGGTTCTTGCTTATATTCCAGAAGCCATCAGGCCTAGCTTTACAATGACACATAAAGAGTATTCTGGTGCATCTCAAGACATTTCCTTGGACTATGACCAACCTTGAAAAAAATCTTCAGTGCAATGAACACACACACATGCAAACTTCAGCTGGTTCAATGTCAGTGATGTGTATAAGGTCATCTTCAACATACTGACCAACAACAAAACCAAGACAGCGAGGCATCCAAGTGATTCAATCCATCCTAACAGAGGTGGTTTGAATAGCCCTGTGGAAACACCTCTCTCAGTGTGTTAGTGGGGACGCCTAAATAACTTGCTTGGAGTAGATGCCCGAATTTCAGATGGCTAAATTGACGGAGGTTAATCCTGCTCTTTATCGCCAGTCTAGATTTGTACATGTATAAATTGATGTACCAGGTATTGGTTTTTTTTTCTTTTCTTTGTTTGCTACAGCCCTCCATTATCTGAAATCTCCTCACAGAGAATTTAGAGACTGGGATCAATTTGCTTTTTAATGTTCTTTTATCCTTGAGTTTAAACTTCTCACAGTTTATCAGACTTTCCAAAAGTCAAACAAGCTCTGCAGCTCTTTTCTGAATGCCTTTGCATCTGCCATTACAGTGTTTTCTGCCATGGGCACTAGTGAAGCTGATGTTTCCCTCCAGCATTCTCACCACTGCTAGTGAGATAACAACTCACTAATTAGCATCTCTTATAATTAGCATCTCCATCTTTATATACTCAATAATATAATTAGCTTGCTTAGCTATCACACAGCATAGGAAATACATGGTGTGTAGTTGCCTAATGTATTCCAGTATCTTAGATGGTTCCAGGATACTCTACCAGCAGTACCTACAACTGAACAGTCAGGCAGGTGATGTGCTTTTACCGTGTACCTTATCTCCGCTGTTTCTACTACATAATACAAAATGTGTGACCTCGGAGCTGTGAGGCAGGAGCATTGCTGCCCAGGTAAGGTGTTCTAAATTTCAGACACCAAAGCAAAGAGCAGTATGCTCTGTCTTTAAGAGCCATATTATAGTTTGTCATATGGCTAATCTTTGTAACACTTTATGGAACTAAGGGAGTGACATGTAGAAACTGCATGGAGTGGCAGCAGTTTGTAAATCCTTTCATGACCCCTTTGTCTCCTCTCTGGCAGTCTCTTAGAACCTTGCCAAAGCACTAGATCATGTACTGCACTGCGCAAGCAAACCTACTCAGTGTGCTGCCATGGCATTTCCTCACATCATGTCAGGTGAGGAACAAAGCCCAGTTGGAGAAATCAGTGTTCGCTTATGTTTGTGTGTAGAGCACATTGCACTTGGACTGTTGGAGCCCTAATCTAAAGCCTTCTGCTCACCTCCACTATCCCAGGCTTACTGCCTCCCAGTTTTCAAGGAGGTCTGATCCCCTGGAAACTGCAGCCTGGGGGGAGAGGGCTGGGCCAGTTTCCTGCTCTTGTCAAATACTTCCAGCAGGGCCCTCTGCAACAGGTAAGCTTTTCTGCCTCATCTCTCAAACTGAAATAACAAAATGTACATAAGCACTATGAAGATAAATACATCTCAGACTATCAAGTATTTATTTACTTCTCTAACATATAGGAGCAGAATGTAACTCCAGCTATAGCCAGTAGTCATGAGAACTGACTTTAAGAAAGATAGGATAAATGCCAGACAGTTCCTTAGTTTTTCATTATTTTTGTTTTCTAAAGCTTTCCAGACCATGTTTGCACTAATCTAAATGGAATAAAGGAACTAAGAAAATGAGACAGAGATTTCCCATGCAACAAGCACTGGAAGATTGGGACTTAAAATGGGAAGATGTGGATTACTTTTGTCACTATCCTAATGCTGTGCAAGCCCTTTTTCTGTTACTTTACTTGTCTGTAACCCCTCCAAAACCTGCCCCATTTCTGCTAGCATCATCTTGTGGATATACTCAAGTTAAGTATTTGGAATAGTTGTTGGACTGCTTCAGGTATTTTCACTGTGAGTTCCTTTTACTTTACGTATTTCCAAGGAAAAGAGAAGAGTCAACCTGAGCGACAGCTGGCAAATGATGAACCAAATTTATTTTTGGTTTCAATAGCATCACAATTTGTTTGTATTCTTAAAACATTTACAAAAATTCATCCACATTTTTATCTTCTTTTAGTAGTGCAAGCAAACAGTGGGGCTCTTTTTAGCTGGAACACCATTCTTACTCTGAGCTTTGAGAGGCTTCACTGAATAGTAAAAAAGAAAAAGTCAACCCACAGCCCCCCATACAATTTTCTTCAAAATGTCTAAAAAATTAAATTAAGCAAGCATTTTTTGTAGATGGTATCAGTTATATTAGCTTCAGTCAGTGAGAGTTTTTTGGTGATCAGAAAGGGTGAATTCTGGCTGCTTTCCAATCAGAATTTCTTTAGAATATTTTAGGTGGAACTGTGATTGTGATGACCTGCTAGTATAATACTGATGAAAGGTACTGTGATCATCAGCTCCCAATGATGTATCACTTCTAAGAGCTGAGAAGTTGGGAATGCAATGGAAAATATCTTGCCGCCCTTGTCTGCATGACTGATTAAAATCTGTATCACTAATCATCCTAGAATATACTTAATGACTTTAACTAATTTACTATAATTTCTGATGAAACTCACTGCAACTACTTTTCCACATGCTGCTATGTGCTAGTAATGTTTTTCAACAGGAAGGAGGCAGGCTGTTCACTGTGTTTCAGCTCTCAGAGCAGCATCACTTTAATGACTGCAAAGAATTGCTCTAATGCAAATCCACCTCAGTGGTATGACTCACCACTATTATCACAGACAAAGCTCCCTTAACTATGAAGACTCCTTTGTGCATAAACTACTCAGCTATGTGCTAGAGCATCCATCCTTCAGGAAAACTGCAGGCAGACCTTGCACCATTTTAGATTTAAGCCCATCAATCACTGTTCTGCAAAGTGATTGCATGAACCTCTGAGCAAACACCTTTCCATCGCTGCTTTTAACATTTGCTGTAAATGGCCATGTCTCCACCACTATTCCATCTTTCAGGCTCTTTGGAGCGTAAGTACAGGTTACCAGCACTCACAAACAGCAGGAAACAGATTACCCTACCAGGATGTAAAGTGAGCTGGTCTATTTATTTCACACATAGCTACTTTTTACATAGGTTCCTGTAGTTTAAGCTGTGTGCCCACTTTCAACCAATTATTCCTGTGTTGCTGCTCTGTGTAGGCTATGTAATTGTGCTGACTAGCCTGTCTTCTCTGATGTTTAAAGTACTACGTCTCAGGCTTGCCTACTTGTTCTGTTTTGGGACCATGTCAACGCCTGCCATTGGACATTGCCATTAGTGGCATTTTTAATTGTTTGAGCTGCATTTGTCATCCTTCTGTTTAATGTCTTAAATTTGTGTTCACCTCCCTAGCATTTGGGATTTCCAAGAAACATTTTACAGTTGACTTCAAAGTCTTTTCAGAGGCTTTTTTTTTTCTTTCTTTCTTTTTTTTTTTTTTTCAGTGAATAGATTTTCTTTACAATTATGGTTACAGATACCTGTGTACATATATTTATGACAATGTTGGTCATGTAACTTCTCCATAACATTTTCAGTTCTTGAAAATGGTTTCCTGATTGGTGTGTTCTCTCCTGACCTAATGGACAGTAAAATGACTCTAATGTTCCCCAAATTTCAATGCTTTTTGATCTATTTTGCTTTTGAGACTTAAACAACCATTTATCTGATACTTTCCTAATGATGAACAAACTGACTGTGTCTAATTGCTGGCCTTTTCTTAAACTGTGCAGTGAAAGATCATTATAAAACCAAGGTCATATAAACATGCTTTATCGCTTTTCTGATGAAATGCCTAATTGCTTGCTGCATCATGATCTAATCGGGGAACAGTAGCAATTAAAGTAATGATGTGGGAGATCTGTGAACTCAGCTGTCACTGCAAATAATTGTCTGACATTGTTACCATGTACGGTCATAGATTCAGCATCATCACATCAGCTTTTTATGATTATTGTTTGGAATTCTACAGTGTGCCATTATTTCATGCAGACATGTTAGCATACTAGAACAGATCTTCTGCAACTCTATAAAAGAATTATTACATACAGGTGTTGTTTAGTAATAATTCTGAGATATGAACTGGTCAGTACATGACCTTCAGCTGTACTACTTGCTTGTTCCTCATTGAGTTAGGAGGTAAGTTATCTGTTTCTTCATAACTAAAATATATGCTGGAGTTGACTTTCCCAGACACTAACAGCAATGGGATTTTAATTCATAGGCTCTTATTTCCACTGGATTTTTGCTTTCTTCTTCTTCATTCTCACTTCTGTTAAAAACACATAGTGTACATATATAGTAATTTTGCAGGTTTTTAGTAGTTTTCTGGGGTGTAGCCTATTTAAGATTGATAATATTCTGTCCATCATTTCCTTCCACCTCCCCCCTCCTTTAATTTTTCAAGATATATTTTCTTTCATTTCTGAAATCTGGTAAGTTATGCCAAATTTCCTACTCAGAAATCCTGCTGCAACTTTCTATGAATGCAGGAAGGCTTTCCTGTCTGGATCAGTAACGCCAGGTCCTTGCCACTTTCCCTTTCATCTCTTCTGCCACCTGCAAAGTCATTAGCTGAAGCTGTTGATTATCCCTCTCACTTTCTTGTCCATCTGCCTTATTTAGACTCTAGAAAACTAAAAGCAATTAATTGCATTTTATTAGCAATAAGTTTTGCTCTCTGCCAGTCAAAGTTTAACTCAGCTGAGGTTGCATAATTCAATACAAGTATGGGAGCAACTCTCTCCTTCTTGCATTTCCCAGATACAGCTGCTCTTAACAATATGTCAAATGCAGCTAAGCTGATTTTCAGCTACATTTGTATTTACAGATCTAAATCAAGGGTGACTCTGAGCACCTGAACTGGATTTTTGAATGCAGATATGAAGTTCAAATCACCCAGCCTGGACACCTTTGAAGTGTGAAACGGACAGACTGAGGCATGAATATATATATGTGAGTACTTTTCCTTGAAGCTCAGAAGTTGTACTCAGCTTATTTGAAAAGTGCTTGGGGATGCTTTAAAGTTTCTCTGTGATACTTCAGAATCTATGCAAGAAGCTTCAGAATAACCTTGTCATTTTATTTCTCAGTGCATATATAAAATGTATGAAAAGTGTATGTGCTGTTGCGCATCTGACTCCAAGGTGAAGGTAAGGGGTAGGCGAAAGAACTATCCAAATAGCTCTAACCGTCTTTAAAATTAAGTGGCGTTTGCTGCGAGAGAAATGATGGGTTTTGTTGATAAAACTTGCGATGTCATACTCATTCCTGTATATGACACTATAGTGTTGTTACATTATACAGTAAAATTGCAGTCTTAACTGATTTCTTCTAATTTCACATGAATTAAATGCTATCTGCTACTTCAGCAGTGCTACACTCCCGATCTGTTATTATCTAGATAAGCTAAGGATCTGGCTGCAAGAAAATCTACTCAAAATATAAGAGAAAATTTAAATATGGAAGTTGTTCAGAATTGGTTTCCAGTATTTTGACTAGCTTTCATTTCTCAGCACGAAGAGTTCATTTATCAATAACTTTCAGCTTTCCATTTAACTACTCACTTTTCTACTAATTGATGTTTTCTGACAATTCATTACCACATTTAAGATAGTTAAATCACTTTAACTGTACAGTTCATTTAAAGGAAAGACTTTCATAAAGTTGATGAATATGACAGTCCCAGGTTGATGGACAGGCTGAGAAATAACTACATAGGGAATATCGATCATCTCATATCCAATGAATCTGCAGTTTACATGAATGTGAAGAAATAAATGTTGCATTATTGGGTCTATTACAGAACAAAAGGAAAAAGAGAATAGGCATGAAATGAACCACATATGTTATTTATGTATCAACAGAAGAAGCAGTGCCTATCAACATTTAGAAGGTTTGCTGGGATTCAGACTGAAGTGGGCAGAAGCTTTGCATATTGTCTTCACATCAGTAGTGAATTTCTAAAAACAACAAAGAAAGCACTTATTTATGTATCTTGAATTGTTTAAATTAAAATTGTGAAATTCAAAATTAAACCTTTCCATTTATTTCCATAATTATAGTGTAGTGGCAAGTAAACAAAAATTGGAGCATTAAGGAATTTGAGGTGCTTGCTTCCAAGTCTCCCATCCGTTTTGCTGGTCTCCTGCCCCGACATCACGTAAGAGTCCAGGCAGGAAAAGGGATACACAGTGCAAAGCCAGTTTCATGATCTGGCTCTTCCAGGAGCAGAAAGCGATTTCCCTAGTTTTGTTTTAGTTTTTAAGCTTCTTATGTTTTTACAGTTATGTTGGTCCTAGCCTTCAACTGGATTTAGCTCCATTCACCAAAACTCTTTGGGCCCAGCTATCCAGCCAGTTTGAAACCCAACGAAGCGTACACCAGTCCAAGCCAAGAGCCAGTTTCTTGAGGAGAATGTTAAGGGAAACGGTGTCCAAAGCCTTACTAAAGTCAAGGTAGACTACATCCACAGCCTTTCCCTCATCCACTAAGCACGTCACTTTGTCATAGAAGGAGATCAGGTTCATCAAGCAGGACCTGCCTTTCATAAACCCATGCTGACTGGGCCTGATCGCCTGGTTGCCCTGCAAGTGCCACATGATGACACTCAAGATAATCTGCTCCATGAGCTTCCCTGGCACTGAGGTCAAACTAACAGGCCTATAGTTTCCCGGGTCTACCTTCCAGCCCTTCTTGTAGATGGACGTCACATTTGCTAGCCGCCACAGCATTTAAACTAGAACAAGAAAGAAAATGATGAAATATTAAGCACTTACATCGTTTTTTTAATCCAGGAAGATCCCAAACTACTTTACAAATCATAGGTTAATCCTGACTTTGTTCTGAGATGCTTTCTTACACTTTCAGTCCTCTGCAATAGGAGACTGCAATAGAGTGCTGCTTTGATTCTTGATATACAAGAATCACTTCCCCATTATCACAATGTACTGTCTTCTAGATTTTTTTTTCTAACTGTATTATGATAAATGTAGTACAGGAAGCTAGTAACTGACAACTTTTGTTATCATGAAAACTTGTGAACTTTTTTGCAAAATGTTTTAAACAGTATTTAAGTTTTTATGCCCTGGGATATATTCATATCTCACAGGATTAAAAAATCTATTTTCTATTTTCCTGTTTTTTTTGAATTGAAAGAAAGCCCATCTGTAATCTGGAGCTGCTCTTATGGCATGACACCACCCATATATATGTAAGCGTGTTTGTGAGATGCTAAAGAAAAACACACATTTTCTCTGTGACTGGAAAAGCAGGGATAGGTTTAAGACACTTCAAAAATGTGAACACAAACTGAAAAGTTGATTTTATAACTGGAGTCTTGCTGTTACCAAAGCAGTTCAAGAGGCTTCCATTATTGCATTATCTGCAATAATGGAAGTTCAAGTATAAAATGGAAAACAACAAAATGCGAATAATTGAGCAATCTTAAAGACAGTGGTGAAAATGATAAATCCTTTAACTCCACTGCACTTCTTCACTAACAGCATGATTGAATTTTGAGAAGACGCTACTAAGGTCATTCATCAAATATAGACTGCAGCAGAAACAGACTCTAAATGAAAGTTAAACTTAATTTATATATATACATGTATATTGCAAAATTACCATATTTTCCATGTATATAACCTGCAGATTATCTAATGGAGAAATAAATAGCCAGGGAACCTACTCTTACTCCCTACTGTCTTAGCACTTGCTGTAGTACACAAGTCTATTTTTCTGAAAGACCTCTTTACTCAAAAGCCTCTTCCACATGCTAATCACCTTGCCTACGATCACCACTGCCTACTGCGTTTTTGAGACACCTGTGCTGGGTCTGGCTGGGATGGAATTAATTTCCCCCACAGCAGCCCATATACAAGTGCAGTGTTCTGCACCTGTAGGTAGAACAGCATTGGTATCAAACCACAAACAACCCTGATATTGCACCAGTGTTTTGTCTATTGCTGTGCTGTGCTGTGCCCTACAGCACCAAGACTCCCTCCAGCCCCCAAAGCCAGCAGGCTGGGGATGGGCAAGGGGTGGGGAGGGGACATACCAGGGCAGCTCACCTAAACCAACCAAAGGGATATGCCATACCAAGTGGTGCCACACAGCAATAAAAGCTGGGGAAGGGGAAGGAGAGGGGGTGCTCTTGTTATGAAGATGTCTCTCCTCCCAAACAACCACTACGTGTATAGAGGCCCTGCTTCCTGGGACATAGCCGAATGTTGCTTGTTGATAGGAAGTGTTTTTTTTTTCTTCTCTGTGCTTCCGTGTGGCTTTTTTTCCCCCTCTTTCTTTTCCCTTTAATTAAATTACCCTTATCTCAATCCATAAGCCTTTTATTTTTTTTCTGTCCCACATGTTTTTTTCTTCCTTTCTTCTCCTGAGAAGGGGGAGTGAGAGGGCACTTGTGGTGGAGCTCAGCTGCCCAGCAGCATAAAGCCACCACAACATCTATGCACTTAGTTGAAAGGTTGTAAGTTTCAAAAGTAGCAGGTTATAAACTTCAAAATATGGCATTTCCTGTAGTATCTTATGTGCCAGAATACAAGGGGTAAACATGGATTTGCTAAGGAGACATCTACTTATTTCTTTCATTGAGCAATGAAAGGAATTAAGAAAAAAAAATAATATTATGGGAGCTGTTGGGAACATAGGCACACAGTGCGGTGGGGAAGTGGTGAAAGTTATAACAGCGATTTATCAATGCTCATCTCCTGCAAACACAGGAAAAGGAGCATGCTCACCTGATCCTAACATACAATCCCCACTTAATGTTTCAAAAAGAAGCACAGAAAAAGAACAGCAAAAGTCAGGAATGGAAATTGATTAAGAATCCTTCAAAAATTACTGGAGAGTTTCCTTTGATTTGTAATAGTATGGCAGAACAAGCCATATAGCCATGCCTAATATTTTAAATATATAAACACAAATATAAAATAAAGGTATCACATTTTTGTATACACACATAAGTATGAAGCTAAACCACCAATACTGTATTACAAATGTTGGTTTTAAGCTATACGGCAATTCCAACTAAAGACTGGGAATTCCATGTGCAAAAAGCTGCAGGGACTGGAAGAAGGAAAAAAGAAGGGAAGAGGAAGAAGAGGAAAAGAAGAATGCTTATAACTAAGTACAAGCAAGTATCTACCTTATGGAGCGTTATTGGGACTCTTCCATTTGGACACCATCTGCTGTAATATAATGGTCCTTTAAGTCTGAGCTGCACTGAATATATTCAGTCAGTACTGACTGCTACATCAAATGAGTTCCTCTCTCACTGATCCTTTTCCTTGGTCATACTATCATTACCTTTTCTATCACAAAAAAACTTTTTTGCTCTAGATTTTCTGTTAAAACTAAAGAGCAAGTTATGAAATAAAAGGACTACTGCTAATATCCTTTTTTACAAAAGAGTGCTATCCAAAGGTTTCAGATCAAGACCAACACTGTCTTTATATGCTCTATAGCTTCAGGAACTGCTGTCATCTTTTTCACTCTGCTCATTCTTGGATCACTTAATTTTGCCAAATCTCGGTGTCTAGCCCTCTGGAACACTTCTAAATTGCACTGGTGACTTTTCACCCTTTCCCTTCAGGACAAGTCTAGAAAACTCTTCTTACCATGAAAAAAATCACCTGCCTCTTTTGACGCCTCATTCAGAATATTGGTTTATTTGTCTGTCTTCCTTTGATTCTGTTTTCTTTGGTAAAAAACAGGCAAAAATCATTCAATGACATTTTGTCCCATGGTTATCAGTCCTCAATTTCTTCTATTTATGTTCTTGCTACTCCTGAATCTGTCTCCCATTAGGCATGTTTTTTTTTTTTTTTTCTTTTGTTTTGTTTTGGTTGCATTTAACTTTACAGTAGCTTACTTGTGTCATTCTGTCAATTGAGATTCAGGTATGCTTTTTCAGCTATGCATATAAAAAACTAACCTGGTTTTCATATTGCTTCTGTGACTCATGCCACAAATGGTGTGTATTGGTGACTTCTCACATTGAAGTTATTGCACTGTTGATATTTATACAGTCTTTTAAAACCAGACCAACAGACACGTAGATACACACAGCAAATTGTCTTTGGTACCAAATGAAAATTAACTTTATGATGGTTGATGCAGAAACAAAGATTTGTAATTTATTTTTACCATAGAGCAGAATCACAGAATGGCTTGAGTTGAAAGGGACCTTTAGAACCACTTAATTCCAACCTCCCTGCCATGGGCAGGGACACCTCCCACCAGACTAGGTTGCCCAAAGCCCCATCCAACCTTGCCTTCAACACCACCAGGAATGGGGCATCCACAGATTCTCTGGGAAGTCTCTGCCGGTGCCTTGCCACTCTCTGAGTGGAGAATTTCTTCCTTAAACTAAATGTCCTGGTTTCAGGTAGGATAGAGTTATTTTTCCTGCTGGTAGCTGGCATGGTGCTGTGTTTTAGATTTAGGATGAGAATAATGTTGATAACACACTGATGCTTTAATTGTTGCAGAGCAGTGCTTACACTAAGCCAAGGACTTCAGCTTCTCACACTGTCCTGCCAGCGGGCAGGCTGGGAGTGCAGCGGGAGCTGGGAGGGGACAGACCCAGGAGAGCTGACCCAAACTGGCCAAAGGGGTATTCCATACCATCTGGTATCATGCTGAACAATATATAGGGATGGCTAGCTGGGGTGGGGGGACCAGCTGCTTGGGAATATGCTGGGCATCGGTCAGTGGGTGGTGAGCAATTGCACTGTGCATCACTTCTTTGTACTCATTATTAGTAGTATTACTATTATCACTATTATTATTATTTTCCTTTATTTTCTGTCCTAATAAACTGTCTCTATCTCAACCCACAGGCTTCATTTTCCTGATTCTGTCCCCCATCCCAGAGAGGGAGTGGGGAGGGTGAGCGAATGGCTGTGTGGTGCTTAGCTGCCAGCTGGGTTAAACCACAACATTAAACCTCCCGTCTTTTAGTTTAAAACCAATACCCCTTGTCCTATCAGTACATGCCCTTGTAAATAGTCTGTCTTATAAGCTCCCTTTAATGGGGCAAGAACCTTCTTTTCTCCAGGCTGAACATCCCCAACTCTCTCAGCCTTCTTCATAGGAGTGGTGATCTAGTCCTCTGGTGATCCTTGTTGCCCTCCTCTGGACCTCCTCTAATGGGTCTATGTCCTTCTTGTGCTGGGGGCCACAAAGCTGGATGCAGTATTTCTAGATGGGACCTCATGAAGGCAGAGTAGAAGGGCAGAATCACCTCCCTTCACCTGCTGGCCACTCCTCTGCTGTTGCAGCCCAGGATACAGTTGGCCTTCAGGACTACAAGTGCACATTGCCAGCTTATGTCCAGTGTTTCATCCAACAGTACCCCCAGGTCCCTCTCCATAGGGCTGCTCTCAATTAATTCATCCCTCAGTCTGTACTTAGGGATTGTTCCAACCCAGATGCAGCACCTTCCAATTGGCCTTGATGAACTTCATGAGGTTCATGTGTGCTCACTTCTCAAGTCTATCCAGGTCCTAGATGGCATCCCTTACCCATATAGTGCCAACTGCACCACTCAGCTTGGTGTCATCTGCGAATGTGCTAGGAGTGTGCTCAGTTCCATTGTCTACGTCATTTACGAAGATGTCAAACACTACCAGTCCCAAGATGGACTCCTGAGGGACACCAGTTGTCACCGGCATCCACCTGGACAAAGAGACCTTCACCACCACTCTCTGGGTGTGGCTATCCAGCCAATTCTTATCCACTGAACTGTCCACCCTTCAAATCACTTCTCTTCAATTTGGAGACAAGGATGTTGTCTAAGTGTAGTAAAACTCTTTACCACTGAAAAATGGCAGCACCTATTTCTCTGAGACAACAACATTAAAAGATAATTTAAAATACCCCAGAATAAGAAATCACTCCTAAGCAGTAATTATGTAAGACAATTCACAATATAAAGAACTATCTGCTAGGTTCTCAAATGGTGTAACTCAGCCTGAATTTGTAGAAACTTCCAAATGGAGATGATTGGTTAAACTACAAAACAAGAGAGTCAAAAAATACATCACAGAATGGCTTAACATACTTACCAGGCAGATGTACTCTGAAAAGATACCAGAGGTGGGCTTAAAGCATCTCCTTTTAAAGTATGTACTGTCTGTGACGTTTGAGGCTGTGTCTGTACTTGGCTTGGATCCTGAGCAGGGTTAATCCATTGGCTCTGTCCTTGTGTCATCCACTTTCCCTGGATTCCCCACCGTGCCAGGTAAAGTTTGCAAATATCATAGTTCATTGAAGAGTAATATAAAAGGTCCAGTACCAGCAATATCACCACAAAAAAGCCATAGATCCACACCCCTAACAGTGCACTGTAGTTGCTGTGAAAATAACAAAGGCAAAACAAAAAAGTAATGTAATATGTATAGTGGTCATTATAGTAAAGGTTCTTTGTTCCACTAATTATGTAAAAATAATATACAGATGAATGATACCAAAATTTTGTTTTAACGAATGTCGTAAAATATTATCTATTATTTTAATCTGTCTAAATACTGCTGTATGCATGATATGGGAGGCTTTTAAAAATGAAGGCCCCCACCCTGCAAACATTTTTATTTCTCTCTCATCTGTGTACATATATATAAACGTGGTATGTGATTAACTTTGATGCTTTAAGTGAGCCCATTGATAAACAAATGTTTGATGGGTCTTATTCTATGTTTTATTCTGCAAATTCTCTCTCAGAGAGCCACCCTTCTTGAAGCAACAGGGCATTTATATGAGTGAGGATTAACAATATGAAAATATGCTGTAATCATTGAACCTAAGGGTGCTTCTACTATTGAAACATTCACTGCTGACAAGCATTATAAACCCCTTGTCTTAAAAGCTGTTTACCATGTTTGGATTTGCTCTGAATTTTATGACTAATAATTGCTGGTTGCAGAAGAGACTTTCAAGAGCAACTGCTAAAGATCCATTGGTTAGCTCATGCTCAGTTTAGGAAGGAAGAATATGGACAAAACTGTATTATATAATGCATTCAATAAGAAAGAAAATGCGTACTATGTTTGTACATTCATGTTGGTGTAGCTATAAGGTACATATGGGTAAAGGCAGTGAAAATTATCAGCTGCCGGCATGGTGCATAGAGCTTTGTAGCTAAGACAGGTGAGTAAAGTTACTAGAGGGTAAAGAAAAGAAGAAAAGGTATAAGGGATCAACAGTACAGAGATCAAAAAAGGGAAAAACGCTAAAGCTACTGATGCAATATTCTTAAAAGAAAAAAAAAAAGATTACTAGTTATAAACGTAGTTTGAATTGGAAATTCTGTGAGTGGGGAAGAGGAGACCAGAACAGAGATGCGAAGAAACAAGTAAGAATGAAATTGTTACGTGTGCAGAGAAAGAAGGCCGATCTAGACCTAAGAGCTTATGTGGAAATAATGTGTAGTAGAGACTATAAAAACAAGAGCAAGCAGAAGGGATACTAATAAAAAGTATCATTAGGAAGACAATCTTGGGGGAAAATGACATCTAAGCATATCAACAGGCAGCCCCCATCTATTTGAACCTGAATACGACTGAACACATGTTCAACACTGCTCTTTCACAGACTTTGAGGGAACTGTTTTATCAGAACATTGATGAAAACTAAAGTGCTCCAAGAGGAAAAAAGCCTGAGAACACACATTATAGATATAAGCCAGAAAGATATATTGACGATTTCAAAATATGTTCCAAACCTTTTAAAACCTAAAACTTTTCAAGTCTCTGCTTCGAACTTTCACTTCCATTTAAACTTTTATACAGATCTTCCATTTTATAAATATAATCAGCATTTGAAGCAAGAGATCAGATAAGAAAACAGAATTTTAATTTGTGTTGCTGCCTGTCAGCAATTAATGAAACTGATTTTCCTCTCCAGTGAATGATTCTTCCACTACACTGATATAAAATGCTTAGATTAAATGTGGTTCCATAGCAAACAACTGTGAGTAATGAGAGCTGTTAATGGGCCCTTTCTGTCTCACTTTATGATCATTCATTCTAGCCTAGGATTTTCAAACTTTTCAGTAAGTTTCTAGGAGGATTAGAAGTAGACAAAATGTAGTGATTCTGAAAACTCTTAATTCAAGAGTCTTTGCCTCTGCTAAAGACCTGTACCTGCATGCCTAAATTCAAACAACAGTGGGTAGGCTTTTGACATGCATTGAAATCCTTTCAGTCCAAAGCACTTGGAACTGTAAGTGGGTTTGGTTAAGCTAGGCTTCTCAATAGTGGTACTCTTCATTTTCAGTGGGTTTACTCCTACTGGAGTAAAATTCTCTATCTTCTGCTAATATAAATAAAAGTGAAAGCCAGAGAAGTCAGGAAGAAATCTGCTGTGACAAATCCTGTTCCTATTCATTACTAATACCAATGCATGTTAGGAATAGGTGTGCTGTATTTGATCCATAGTAAATATTGGAAAAAACGTTATTTTTTGTTTTGGCAGCAATTTGAGAGGCAGAAACATTTCTTTCAGTTACCTCAGAAGAATTCTTTTGTATTTTAGGCATCTACTTTTACCCAACAAACATTGGCTAGTGAAAATTTAAGCTATTTTGAGAGTTCCAATTTAAATCTGTTCCTTCTAAATAACATCTGTTTCTCACAAGTACAAAAATGAAAGACTTCTTTATTGAAAATAACAGACAGTGGCACTACAGCACTGTCAAAGGTGCCTTGTGAAAAATCACAAGCAAAATTAATAAGTAGTATGTTTTGTATACAAAGGGAAATGCCATACTTTGATATATTTTGTTTCTCAAAGTATTAACATGGTAGAAAGTACTAATTTTGCTGATACTTACTAATCACATTAAAAATTAAAACTTCCCTACAAATTATGAAGATGCCTTAATTAGAAAATAAACAACCTTTCTTCTGTATCACTGAATAAAAGTAGGGCCAGAGACACAGCAAAGAACTGGGAATCAAAGCACCTAGACATGCTCTCATCTCTTGTTAGACATTGGAACAGGCTGCCTAGGGAAGTGGTGGAGTCACCATCCCTGGAAGTCTTTAAAAGATGTTTAGATGTAGAGCTTAGGGATATGGTTTAGTGGGGACTGTTAGCATTAGGTCAGAGGTTGGACTCGATGATCTTGAGGTCTCTTCCAACCTAGAAATTCTGTGATTCTGTGATTTCATTGAACTGAATAATTTAACAGTAAAAATTTCATCTTACAGACGATTTTTTCTGTACATCTGTGCAGAAGTTTCATTTCAATTAAAAAATGAAGTGTGAGTGGATTCCAAATCTGTCGGGATTCAAATTACTGGGGTTTGCTCCTTTGCTCGGACAATCAAATATAGTAAGATTTTTTTGGTGTGGTTGTGTATCCTCCTCCCCTTCCCCAGCTGAAAAGTTTGGTTGGCCTTGCCTCCCAGTTCTCCTGCCCTCTCAGTCAGTCACTTTGGAGCTTCTCTTTAGGTTCAACACAATGCTTTGCAATGTAACACTGAAAACTACTTCCACAGCCATGTTGCCCAGTCCTCTGCTGTTGCATGACCAACAATACAAAAGCAATATCTGGAGTAGAGTTGCATGATAATTTTTTTCTAGCTTAGTGAGAGAGGATAATTCATAGGTATGTCAGAAAAGCTTAGTGGCTCATTATTTCAAGATACTTCAGCTTTTACAAAAATACAATGTGTGTATGGTAGACACTTGATACAGAGCCTACTTGTGTAAACATCAAGATTTGCTCTGACTTTAGGAAACCTTGAATTGGGCTCTTGGAGAAAAATAAATACATTTTCTACCCATCTCATCCTATTCCATATATAGAATCCTACTCAGATTTCTCTGACACCTCTACAGACAAATGAAAATGGATAGATTATTTTATTATTATTTTTACCTATATGACTCCTTCCATCTAATTCATTGACTTTTTGATAGAGATGACAAGCTGGTTAGGACTAAGCTTTGTTTTGGAAGAGTTTGCTAGTTTTTTATATGCTGTATATGAACAGAAAATAATTCATTTGGGAATTCAGGCTTAAAAAAAAACAACACAAAACAAAACACAAAGAAACAACAACAAGTCAAAACAATTGTGAGTAGCATTCTTACAGCTGCAGTTTAAATGTGGGCAGATGGCCATGGAAACTGCTTCTTTCCCTATTCTCAAATGGGGCTGTTACTATGTAGTAATACATAGTTAAAATGTAGTAATACATTTTAAGTGTTGCCCCAAGCAAATATGAGCTTACATCCTTGGAAATGCATTGGTACTTCTATCACTGAGGAAACCTTTATATTTTTTACATGTACACTTTAATTAGAATTTTTCTCTCTTTTATTTTTATTAAAAAAGAAAATACCTAAAGATCTTTGTTCCATCTTACATTTTCCTGTATAATCCACTACTGTAGCACCTAAGAAGTCTTCCCAACTAAATTATATCTTTTTGGAACAATTGGTAGTGGAATCGAAAAAAAAATATACATTTATTTATTTAGCTTTGCTTTCTTGTAAAGATGATTTTCTGGGCGATACTTAAGCAAACATAGGCTCTGCAGAGGACATGCTGTATACGGAGAAAGATCGTCCTTACATTGGTTTTGGTGCAATGTTGTAATGTGATGTGCAAAAGACAGTCAACCCTGGAAAACTTAGTGATAGCTCAGTGATATGGTTTAGTGGAGGACTTGTTAGTGTTAGGTCAGACATTGGACTAGGTGATCTTGGAGGTCTCTTCCAACCTAAATGATTCTGTGATTCTGTGAAAACAGGAATGAGAGATAAGGAAAAACATGGATGTATTACAGACTGCCATAATGTATCAGATTAAGGATCAGATTAAGGATCCCTGCTAATACCCATCGTATCTGCTGATACCCATCAGAACTTGCATAATAGAAAAACAGAGAGAATATGAATACAAGATTTAAGTAAATACTATTTTTAAGACCGATTAAGTAATTTATTAGATAGTTTTATGGAAAAATACTTTCGATGGCAGAACTTTTTTTTTAGTCTGTTAGACATCATTGGTATTTCTGTATTTAATACTAAATGAATTGTTCACATTCAAAAATATTATAAACTGATTAGTTTGCATGATTGCAAAGATATAATAGCCCAGTATTCTGCAGTTACCAAAACAGGGGAATCTTTAGTTATGGTAATGGAAATAATGTAAATAAATCTGGCTACAGTTACACTGTATGACTGTAGAAGACGAATGTGTTTTTTCATCTGCACTGTGACAAAGAAGTTACCTGTGACTTCATTTTTTTCCCCCCATCAAATGTATGATAAAACAAGAGGTATGTCTTGATGATCACAAGACTGGCTATGGAGAAAAATAAATCAAATAATGATATCGAATCACTCTTCCCTTACAACTATATACATTTTTTCAGTTCATTGCTATTCCCATATCCTAAATTATTCTCCCCAGCCACAGTGCAACCACAGCCACAGTTCCACTAGAAGCTTTTTTCAGTGGTGTGTGAAATTAGATCTAAATAAATAGCTGACTTTCTAACAGTAAAGTGAATCCTAGATGTATTAGAATCCAGATGAAGTTAAATTATTTTACATGTTAAATAAAGTCAGAGTGTATTAAGATGCTCATTACAATGGTCTTAATGTAGGCATCTAGGCTTCACATTTTTTGGCCCCTCCACAGCATGTTAACATTATTAGGAAGTCTTCTACCAATCTCAGTGAGCTCAGGATGATGATCTCTCTCTCCCTCTCACTACACTGGAGGAGTTTTAAATAGAAAGTTAGCTTCCCTTCATTTTCCTGGCCCTGATGGAATTATCAGAGGTAATATTTCAGGAACTTACACAAGGGGAATACTGGTTCCACTCTGGCACTTCTCTAAATTACATCTCCAAAAGCTTTTTATTGTATTTAACATGTTTTCACCTATCTTCACAAAAGATCAGCATGTAGCTAACGTCCACAGGAAATTCTGGACTGAAGACATATGTGGGAATAAATCTGAAGGTGGCTCACAACAATGACTTTTGACAATAAAGACATATACATAGGTAGTTTTCTCTTTCACTTGAGATGACTTACAAAAAATGATAGCTTGATTATAACTAAAATAACACACACATTAGGCTCTAAGTACTTAAATTAAAATTAGATACTGTAATCCATAGAATACCAAATAGCCTTCTTTCCCATTGATGAACTGCTCACACACAATAGCCCTATAATATGAACAGCTCTACTTGTTTACTTTTGTGGGTGCAGGTGCATGTCTGTACATGTACACAAGTGAGTAGGCACACAAACAGAGAAGGCAGGTAGCAGAGAAAGGTAGTACATGCCAGGGGATATTTTGCAGTCCTAACTCTTTTATACTACACATGATACAGGTTTCTTTATACTACGTGATTGCCACTAACACCTGTGAAATTAGAGTATGCGATTTTTACATCTATACAAGATTCAAACTTTGCTAGGCAGAACTGTATGAGAGGTGGTTGTTAAGGAAGACAACAGTTTGCTGACACTGAGCTGGCTGCTGCTGGCTGCAGTTGTACACAGTGAGCTGAAGAGCCAACATCAGTATTCCAGCACCATAATCTCCTAGCAGACTTGCACCTTGTTTCATATGAATGAAACACACTGACCAAGTTTGGCTCCACAGAAGAAAACACTGAAATCCCTGTAGTAATCAAAAAATCAATAGACTGGAATTCCAGTTGTTTTTAATCCACCCCTTTCTTGCCCTGGGGGGGCTGGATACAAGAATAAACTGGCAGGGGAAGGCAGAAAGATCAGAACTTGACCCTGGGGTTTTACAGGGAATTCCATCAGCTGGAATTTGCCCTCTGAATCAAAAGAAATAACAGTGGATTAGTGTGGCCTGAATATCAAATAAGAAATAGGATACAGATCACAAGTGAATATTTAGCCATTATAAATAGGTAATCAGTAACAAACATCTGCTTGCTACATATTAGTTCCTTAGGACAAAAATCGGTGATACTTAACTTGGAGGATAGGTCTCAGAACAACATGGAAGTATCTCAGGTAACAGGCAGGAAGACCACATGGTGTTGGCATATAAGCAAATACTTTTCTGCATTTAGTTTTGAGTTTTTGTTTTTTTTTTCTTTTACTGATATTCCTTTAAATACAGTTTGGATAAGACTGAGGTTGGGGAGAGACACTTCATTTGTAACTTTTATATGTAACTCTCTATTTCTTACATTTAAATGCAACTTTTACATACATACTGTCCTAGCAATGTTTATGGGAAGTGTCAAAACAACAATAGCAAAGCTAAATATCCTTTTCTTTTAGGCGTTCTGTAAGCAAGTTTCTGTGTGTATGTAATTATTCTAATTGCTTCCATCATTAAGTACACCTCAGACTATGTTACTAGACCATGAACAGTTTAGTGAAGAGCACTTTAAAAACTCATGTACTCATACTTACTTATGCATATATCCATCTGCATTCCCTGTTAAGTTCATCTGCATAACAGTCTGAAATTCTGTCTCATTGCAGCAGTATTTAAATACTGTGTTGTTATGGTGACAGCAAAAGATGTAAGATTTATTGTCAGAAAGACGGGGGCAGTGAAAACCGAAGTGGTAGCGACCTTTGTAGTCTGTATATGGCTCGCAGACCCGAAAATGTGCAGACAATACTGTAAAACAAAGAAAAATATTGGCTTTGTAAGTTACTTGTGTTTTATGTATGCAATAAACTGTAATTTTTCATTGGTTAAGCTTAAATATTTTTCTTTGATTTCTGAAAAATGTTAACATTTCAGAACTTTCAATTTCGTAACATTTAATACTAAAACATTTAGCATGGTTTTTGACTGTTATTATTGCTGTGGTTCTGATTATTATTTCTTTTAAGTGATGAGAAGAAATACCCTTCATGCAAGAAACCCAAAATTATTCAGGGAAACATTTTCATACTGCACACACTAAATATACAGATAACCACAAAGACTTAACAATGTTCATGTTTGATTTTCCTGTGATGACTTCATAAAAACAAAAAGCCTATATAAAAACTGCAATAAAAGTTTGATGACACTTGATTTACAGTCACAGTTACTGACAAAAAATTGCTTTTCCACTGTAAAGGTAATTCTTTGATAAGGATTATTTTGCCATAAATAGTAAGTACAAAACAGTATAACAGATCTGAACAACTCTGAATTTGCAATGATATAGAACTAATAGAAATATTGCTACTCCTGGAAGTTCTTACAGGTCTTCTTTATTAAATTTTCATGTGAAGTGTTTATTACATCTCTGAGAACATTTTTTTCTGAAGAATGTCACAATGATTTCACCATCATTTTCCCTGAAAATAAATAAACAAATAAATAGAAATGCTCTCCCATACATATCCTTAGAATGCAGATTCAAGGCTGCTTGCTGCGTGGTGCCTGGCACAGCACAGTTACATCTTTGTGGTAAGATTGCTGGAGACCTAATGGTTATAAACAGCTCTGAACTAGAAGCTTTGCAAGCATCTCAGTTTGCCAGAGCTAATCAAGCATGCAGAGGAGCAGCACAGCAATCCCTTCCAGCATGGGCCTTAACCACCTGCACGTGACTTCCTGTTCATCTGTAAAGGCTTGCAGAAGAAAAGCCCATGGCCACATGGCTCCACACACTGCCAATATTTTAACTGATTTATAGTTTTTTTGTTGTGGTAGGCCCTGTGGCATATGAATCACCCTCTGTAAGTTCCTCTCTCTACTTGCCTCTATCTCTATGGATTGTAGACCCTGCAGAAGCTATCCTCCTTTCTCATACCTCAGCTTCATTCCTAAAATTAGTTGAGATGAACCTAAGCTCTAATATAAGGTAAGCACAGTATATATATATATGCTTTGTCTTCTTTGCATTTCCCATTCAGGTATTTACAGACATTAAAATTCCCATCTGAGCCTTCAGTTCTCTGTACTAAACAACCCCAGCTTTCGCATCCTTTCCTCATGTAAGAGAGGCTCCAGTCATTTCATCTTAATGATCTTTTGTTGGATTCTTTCCAGCATGTCTAATTCTCTTCTACCGGGGAGGCCAGAGCTGGACACAGTGTGGTCTCACCAGTGCTGAGGAGAGGGGAAGGATCTCCTCCCTTGACCCACTGGCAATACTTTACCTAATGCCAGATACCATTACCTTCTTTGTGGCAAATGCACACTGCTGGCTCACATCCAACTTGGTATCTACCAGGACACCCAGGTCCTTTTCTGCCAAGATGCTCTCCAGCTGGGCAGCCCCAGCATGTACATGTACATGGGGTTGTCCCTCCTTAGGGACAAGACTTTGCAAACTGTATGAGGTTCCTGTCAGCCCATTTCTCCAGCCTGTCCAGGTCCCTCTGGATGGCAGCAACATGATCTCTGGCCTATCAGCCACTCCTTCCACATCTATATTATCAATGAACTTGGTAAGGGTGCACTCTGTTCCATCATCACATTAGTTTTATCTATTTATTTATTTATTTGAAAACATGAGACGTGGCAGGAAAGAAATCCATAAACCAAACAGAGCTTTTAGCTAATTATTTGTTTCCTAAAAAGAATGGGAGCTTGATACAATTCCTTAAATATAGGACTCCAGTGCCAGCTAAAATTTCCCTAGCCTGTCTCCAGCTTTCAGTGGAGGAGGTAGATGTCTCTCATAGGTCCAGTGCACACATGGATGACTTAGGGCAGGCCAAATGGTATTAAATGCACATGGTTAAGCATTTGTAAAGGGCCCTAGGTGTTTGGTACCAGCTTGCAAGGGTGCATTACATGCACATTGCATATATACATTGCGTATAGTAATATTAGTCATTATTCCTAGTAAAAAAAAAAAAAAAAAAAAGAAAGGAAGTTGACCCATTTCTAGTAGTCATACAAAGTGGCATGTCAAGGTAATGCCTGACTAGTGTTTTACTGTAAGTCTCTTCAAAATCAGGTTCTAATCATTATTATTGTGCCTAATAAATTTGAGTGAAGTGGTAGCCTTCGTAACGTAGCATTACACTTCAGAAGTGACCTTTACTCACAGCATTTTTATTTTCAGTATTGAACAGGACAGCACCTATCTAATCCTTCTCTGATAAATGGCTAGCTTCAGATGCTTCAAAGGAAGATACATGTGCCTTATTTAAAAAGCTATGCAAAAAAAATGTAGTAAGACACATACACTTATCTCATTATACTTGCTTTTCACTTGTATATTTTATTTATAGATATCTAAATTGTAATATATATATATAATAAAAAATGCAGGTATAATTATTTTTGGTATAATGCCTTTTAAGGCTTAAGATATATTAACTTATTTCTCTTTTTAAAATGTTGTATTGTTACAACTAATTACATGTTAGTAATTTTTGAAGTGTTTAGTATAGATCGTTGTTTCAAGTTTTGGACATTTTAAAGAAAAATGCCAGAACTGGCTTTGAAAATAAAAGGATATTAAAAATACAATTTTTCATATGTTTTATGTTGTTAGAATTGAAACTTGTTCTTTATGTTTCACAAGCAATTGAATACTTCCATGCTTCTGAAATTATTCAGTGCTGTGACAGAAACTGAATAGTGACAATGCATTAGAAGACTATAGAACTTTGAGAGGCTTAAATTACTCCTCACTGAAAAGTAGTTTATTTATCCACATATGTGAAATATTCCCTGATCCCTAGAGAGGTTTTTAGTACATTTTAAAAGGAAAATTAAACCCAAACTTCTTTGGGGATCAAAACTTGGGGAAGGGTGACTATAGAAAGGGAGGAGAATGGAAAATAACATCAAGTCAGATCATGAGTTATGCCTCTAATAAAATGTATTCCAAAACAAACCCCTAATAGTAAAATGTGTATCAACGATTAAAATAAATAGACAAGAAAAAGCATAAAGTTATGTATTAATTCAGTCACTGTGTTAAACCCAGTATGTAGCTAATCACCACAAAGCCACTCAGTCACTCCTTCCCCCAGGGAAATGCTGGAGAGGATCTGAAGGGCAAAGCAAAACAACTTGTAGTTCAAGATAAAGGAAGTTTAATAAGTGAAGAAGGAAGAAAAAAATAGGTGACGTGAAAGCAATCACTAACCACTAGCAGACCGATGCCTAAGCAGTCCCCAGGCAATGGTAATTTTCAAAAAAACTCTCGTCCCAGTTTTATGGCTGGGCACAACATTATCTGCTCTGGAGTATCACTTTGGTCACTTGGGTTCAGGGGCATCAGCCATGTGCCCCTGCAGCCTCCTTGCTGGTGAGAGGGATGGGAGCAGTGAGAATCAGAGAAGGCCTTGATGGCGCCCAGAAACAGCTATGACGCTGGTGTGTTACTGATGCTATTTGGTCACCAGTCTTTTGCAGGTCATCACAGGGCTGTTGTGAAGAAAATTAATCCCATGCCAGCCAAATCCAGTACACAGTGAAAAACCTTTATCAATTTATTACTATCTGTATAATTTCAGTTGCTGTCTTTATTGGATCTCCGATTTCCTGAGAAAACAAAGTACAATGTTTTACAAAGTATTCTTCTGGAAAATACATGTAATTTAAATCCTGAGCAAGAAAGAGCCTTAACTCTGCTGAAATTAGGATAAAACTGGGACAACTGAAAGGTTTTAAGCTGTCTGTTGCAAAGATTGCAGCTGTTACTGAAGTGGAATTGCTTGTGCAAATTCTCGTCCTATTTCTGAAATGTATTATTGAACAGGTTAGTGATATAGATGCTCTTATCTCTGTTCCTACTAATTTATGGATAATGGTCACGCTTCAAACGACTGATTTGAGCTCATCTTAAAATGTATCTACCATAAAAAGTAAACAACCAGTGTACATCAAGTTACTACTTCACTACTTGTTAACAGTTAATCTGTGTAATGTTGATTAATTTTTTAATTTATCTACCAGATTTGTAAAGTATCAGGTTTTGAGAATGGTTGATCTTTATAAGCTTTCTGTATGAATCTATACAAATATTCATATATATATATATATTATTTAGCACAATGACAATCATTTGAAAGCCTCGGACAATTTTGATATACAGACGTTAATTTTTTACTTGAAAGGATAATTACTGTAATGTGCAAATAATCCCTCACCTTTTGCTTTGCTGCCATCCCTGATTTTATAAATGTGTTTCAATCTATTACATGAGTTTAAGCATCAACATTCCTGCAAAATAAATCTAGGAGTTAAAGTAGCCTGAAAGAATATTCTTATGGTATGACTGCATGCCAGTCCTCGCTTTATTACGCAGTCCCTATCAGGTTAGTACAATTAATGTGTCCACAAATCCTAAAATTGTGTGCATTGTGATCTTGATAACATTGAAAAAACATTAGTCTGAAGTTTCGGTATTCCCAATTTGATTTTATACTCCCTTCCTCCCTGCACAAAGCCGCAGCCTGCCTACTCCAAACTAAACCCTTCCTTTTCAGAGTTATTTCTCCTTGCTCTGAGAGCTTTTTGCCCACATTGGGCAACTGCATCTCCTTCCTAGCCACATAGCTAAAGCTGCCAAACTTTATCCTCATTCTGAGTCACCACCTTAATACCTAACCTAAGTTTGTTCCACTGCCATTGCTTCTCTCCTTTTCTGACAAAAAGACTGGGTGCTGAGAACAGCTCGTCTGAGAGCTTGCCTGTCACTTGTGCCTATATTTTCCTTCCATTGACAGTTACATTTCCAATTCTTAACTGCAGTTTTTAGCCATGCAGAGAACTTCAGTATTAAGATTGCACAACTTAGTATATCAGACTTGGAAGTAAAGAATGATCTTACAGACAGAAGTTTGTAAATCTAGGGAACTTCAAAGGGCTTTTGCATTTAGATTTTGATTTCAGCTCAGTTTAAGAATGATGTACATAACATTCCAGTGAGAGTAGTAGCCTATTTTTCCTGTCATTGTCACTGCATGAAGCCAATAGTTGTCCTTTGTGGAAGCTGATCTATTATGGACAAAAATGTACATTCAATAAATAATAAATTTCATCTATGCCCTGTAAAATGCCAGTTAGCAACAGCCTAAGTGCACTCCTACAGATTTCAGTAGCAAAACTCCACAAGAAGTAAAGTTAGGCTGGCACCAAAGGCTTATGATGATTCCAAATGAAGCCTGTACTCTACTTGCTAATAATCAGTGTTAGGTAATAAAATACTAATAACCAAGAAGCAAAAAGATAAGGTACATTTACAAATACAATAGTTTATGATGTTAGTAGATAAATTACATAAGAAGTAAAAGCTATTCACAATTAGTTTCAAATAAAACGTTTTACTTCAGAGGCAGTACATTTCTTTTCCTAAAAGAAAAACATGTCAAAACCCTGGCTTTATGTTTGGGTTTGAGGGAGTAAGTGTACATACATCAGTGGCTGACTGGTACTATTTGCACTCTTAATGTGATTCCCAGTCAGCTGGAACACAGCCATTTATATAATATTGAGGAAAATGATTGGAGAAGTGGGATTTGAGGAGGTCCCAGTAGAAGTTCCCTAAAATGAGTGGTAAAAGTATGGAAACATAATAAAAAGCAGCAGAAGAGACTGGAGCACCTAGAACAGTTTTGTGATGTTTGATCAGTGGTATACAATCACTGAAGTCTTCTTGAATAACTGGCTTCCTTTATATATCAGCGAAATAGCTTTCTGAAATGACTTTAAACTAGAAAATGACTAAGAGGTTGCTATAACCCCCTATGCCTGATTCTAGCACATAGGAATAGGTTACTTAAATAACTAGAGATGCAGTGCCATACATAGGGATATCAGTGAGAGGACTTTGCAGGAAATGGCTAGAGAATAAACTCTCATTAGTAAGAATCAGCTTGAACACTTGCAAACAAGCATTGAGACTGTAGGAAAGAAAATGCATGATTCAACTTATTGATGAGGACATTACACTGGATATTATAGGCATTACACAGATACAGTACTGTAACAACTCTTACTGGAGCACAAAGATACTTTAAGATATATAATACCCGGTGAAGTTTTAAGTATGGTGATTATGGATGTGTACTACAAGGGAGTATGAATCAATTATGATGAAAATCTCCTTTTGAATTAAAAAGCAGTTCAAGAATGGAGGGTAAAAGAGGTTGTATGTACTCAGAGTTTGAAATACCTAGAATCAAATATATTTGGACTGTAAATATCCTTCTCCCCCCTTCCCCCTCTTTTTTGTAAATCATCCTTCACTACAAAAAGCTTTAATGCTATAGATAACTCCTGAAGAACAAATACAACTAGTAATCATAGCACTCTAATTCTCAGTCTAACAGTTGACAGATTTCTGCACAAAACATCTCTGTGTGCTAGTAGCAAACACCTAGGGCAGATCTAACAAACACCTAGAGAAAAAAACACATGCATACTCCCTGGAACAGTCAATTCTTCAGATTCAGAAAAATAACACAATACTTGCATACTGCAATGCCATGCACTTTTATTTAAGAATGTATGTATTTAAAATAAATAACATCATATCTAATTTACACTGATCTCAAAAATAGCTTACATTCCATATTCGATGCTTCACATGCTCATATAGTTTTGTGTACACTTATAAAAATCTGTAACCCAACTTACTCTTTTTCTAAGAAATGGTCATTTAGCAAAATGGTTGGATATTATCCTGGTGCAGAGCTTGCTTTTTTTCTTTTAGATGAGCTGAAAAACTAGCATATCTAAACAGTAGTTTTGTTTCTTTTAAATTTTCAGTCCAGTCTGCTTTACCATGTCTGTGCCCACCACCTTTGATTTCTTGAACTAAATTTTCAGTTACATTTCAAATTTCAGCTTTAGTTATTAAATGCAAAGATGGCTTTATGCTATTCAATTAACAATTCATTTGATCTTTTTTTTTTTTTGTAGGAATTCAGTATTAAACTGAAATTAATTTTTCCCTTTGACATATATCAGTGAAAGAAAAATTCAAGGTTCAAAGGTTACCTGCTGACAAGAGCAATGAAAGCAGAACCATTAGCACATTCAAGGACTGTTGGCCACAACTTGTCATCGTTGGCTTTCATTGGTCCATTACAGAATCACCTGTTTGACAAGATGCAACAATATGGTTAAATGTCTGTTTCATCTCATTTTCATTTGTTCAAACATGTGCTTCCCCACAAAGCTTTGGTTAACTGAGATTGTTTCATACAATAAGAAAAAAAAAATCATATGTCTTTCTGGACCGGGTTTTAGAAGAGAAATAAATTATTGTTACTATGATTCCTTTCTCATTTCACCCTGAATGTATACAGCTATTTATATACTTTTCATTAACCCAGAGTAAAGATAAATTTAATTTAAATTAATTCTTTATTGGATATTCACACTTCCCTTGTAATCTAAGTTCAGCACGATTGTGCTTATTTTATTGTTTCATGAATGGGCTGTTGTATTTTGCCTATAAGAACTAGAAGGATATGAACAGTATAAAAGTAAATTGTCTGCTTTGAAAGTCAATCTGTTTTACCCCATTAGAGGGTGCAGTCATTCAGAAAGTGGGTTAAGCAACTAAGATGGTTGGAAACATTTCAAAAAATGTCTTTTCATTAAAATCAAAGCATTTCATGGGATTATTCTTATTTCTTGTTTTCCTGGAAATGAGAGCGAGATGTGATGCAATTTGGCTGGCAGTTGTTCATAAAAAGGCTCTCCTAGTCCTTTTGTAAAACAGCCCCACAACTGGTGGAATCCACACATCTTACATCCACCTTGATTAAACATCACCAGCTCCAGATCATGTAGCTATGGTGGAGGTTGTGTCCCAGTGCAAACATCATCATCAACACCAGTAGGAACATCTGGTACCCTATCCTCTTATCACTGCTAATGCAGACTAACGCTGGTCTTCAGCATCCTGAACTCACATGGACATTGGAGAATAATGAAGAAATAATTTGTTGATCTGTACAACACTAGGAGCTCAGGCTATAAACCAGAGAGATGAGGTAATACTTATGAAGGTTGGTGGGACACATCAAATACTTGGGTGTTTGTACTCCCCCCCCCCCAAAAAAAAAAAATAAAAAAAAATTAAGGTGTTTATAAAGGCACAGCTTGGAAAAATTAGAGGAAAATGGCAATTTCTGTCAAAAATTAAATTGTTTTTGACATCTCAAGAGAAATATGACACCAAATGCTTACGAAATCAGTACTGTATAACAGATAAATACAATGTAGTTTACTAATTGATGCCTACTATAGGCTATGGTAGCAAATTAAATACTGAGGCAACTGCACCCACATTTTAAAAAAGGGAGAAAATATTAGCACTATTATCATAAATAACTGCATTCTGAGTAATATTTTTTGGCACGGGGAGGGAGACAGTGCTATTTGCAAAGTGTTTAGGGACAATAGATTTCTCAGTAATAAAAAAATACATGTTAAGCACAAGTAAATTCTGTAAAAAAGCAGATGAAGAGAACAAATTACAAATCTAAAAATCAGTGCTAACTTCTGTTCAAGAAGTCATGATAGATTACACTGTAATCTGCAAGTGTGACTAAAGTCCAAACCACTATAATGCTTGTAGCTTTAAAATAAATCAATTTGTCAAAGGGGAAAACTATTGGAGGTCATAACACTATGAAGGGAAAAAATGGGACAGAAAATTATGAATGCTAATTAGGAGCATATTAAGAATACTTCTATATACATCAACTCTGTTTGAAAAAGCCATCACCTTTTTCCAAAGGAATATCACATCAATTAAAATATCAAGCAGATTTAAAGGTAGAATTTCATTAAAAAAGAGTAACACAGAGTATAAGTCAAAGGTTAAGAATCTGGAAGTTTAATCAAGCAAAACAGATTAAAAGAACAAGTTATTACCTATATTGTAAGGAATAAAGAGAATAAGATTTTTTTTCCTGTGTAAACCAAAGCTGCAGGAATTCCAGTAGTGATTCATTACAAGAAGAAAATCTTGGCTTTAGTAACAGTTAATTAAAAAGAGATCAATAAGCACTTATGTTGTGTATCTGGGGAGACACAGATGTTTGGTATAGCTGAGACTACTAGATAATTCCATACAAAGAATAATTTAGGATGACATTAATGAGTTATTACCAAAGTTCATAATTTTAAATCTGCAATTCTGTGTAATCTGTATCCAGTTATTTCAGAAGAGATGGCTGGGGAGCATATATATCCTTTTCTTGTTACTTTTGTTGGTAAACTATGGTGGCTTTCAGAGGAGATAAAGAAACCTAATGACATTTTAAGCAGTAAATTGGATAATCCAGGTAATTTTAAGCTTGTGAGAATGATAAGGAGAAAGTTAATAGAATGGTTAATATAGAATATCCCAATTAATAACTAGTTAAAGAGAGGAATATATGCATATCACAGTAGGCTTATGGAAAGTAAATTGTATGTTTCAGTATTGATGTTGATGAAGGTTGCCTAATAAAGAGAGTAATAACATCATAGATTTCTGTAAAATAGTTTATGAAGTAGTATGTAATTCGATCAGGAAATGAGAACGATACAAAATAACAATATAGTTTGTCAGCTATGGAAGACTAACTCAGACTGCAAATAAGATGCACATTTTTTAAAAAGTATAGTCTTACTGGCAATGGAGTGCAACTTTACTAGAAGAAATAAATCTACAGAAATCTAGAAGGTTTTCAGGGAGGGGAAAATTTACCCAATTACATCCAATCAATAAAAGTGGCAACAATGATTACGGCATTTTAATCCAAGTCTTGTTATGCTTGCCAGCTCAGAAGATCAGAGTGAGGAGACTTGAATGGTAGAGATATATAAAAGAGGCCAGGAAAATGACAGAGAGAGAGAGAAAGAGAGAGAGAGGTATCTGGTCCACCAATCAGTGTGGATTATCATATCACCTACAGTGATATGGCATATCATGACACCAGTCAGTGGATGTATATATATATATGTATATACACATACACATATAAATGTACATATAGAATCACAGAATGGTTTGAGTTGAAAGGGACCTTTAGGACCACCTAATTCCAACCTCCCTGCCATGGGCAGGGATACCTACCATCAGACCATGTTGCCCAAAGCACCATCCAACCTTGAACACCTCCAGGGATGGGGCTTCCACAACTTCTTTGGGCAGCCTGTTCCACCATTTTAATTTTTTAATTTCTATTTTTTAAAAGACAACATTTGAAGAAAGACAAATTTTGTTGTTGTTGTTGTTTTCTTTTTATAAAATTTGAACAGCATGTAACAAACCCAGTGGGAAAGGCAAAGGGCCTGGAAGTTAAGAGATTAGGTTTTCTTCCTTCTTCTGTACATTGGTGATTAGCTGTGTGGTCTAATGCATCAATTTTAATTTTCAATGCACCATTTCAAGCTTATTTGTGGTCAGTGTGATGGAAAGGAGAACACCCATTCTTTTCCCTTTCCCTTAACAACCTATTCCTAGCCTCACACCAGCTCCTCTTTTCTGCAAGCAATTGCAAGTGTCACTGCAACTACATCATAAATTAGGCTGAAGAAATAGTTTGGGAATCACAGTTTTAGAGGGTGGTGGTTTCCCTTTCTCCCCTCCATCCTCCCCCGGCATTTCAACATTTCTACTATGAGATAGAAGTAATGGTCCTTACTTTTTTTTTTCTTTTTTTTTTATAAGTGATTTACTGTCTTTTCACAGAACAAGGATTATGTTAGGAATATTGCTTTTGCTTGCAGAATATGCAACAACGAATGATTCAAAGAGAACCAAATTCAAAAGAAAGGTGCTGTGATGTTATGATCAAGGAGAATAGACATTAGTATTAGACAATGGGTGGGTAGCTTTTTGTTCCAGCTGACAGAGCCTGTGGTTGCACTGCACCTTCTAATCTCACCACCACTACAGAAAGCAAACTCATTTGCTTTTAACCGCCGCCCTCACCATATGATCACCTGATGAAGCGATTAGATATGTTATCAGATCATTATACCAGACTACTCTTCAGCCACACACTGTGACATTCTAGCTCATTCTTTGCTGCTATGTACACTGCTTTGGTTATCCATATGTTTTTATCTTGCAGTGTTTTCTTGAAAGGAATCAGTGAATCATTGGAAAGAAAAGCTTCCAAGAAAAATAACCATTTCACATGGCAAGATTTTATGCAGAAATATTTTTTCCCCTTCACTCTGAAGGAAGGGTAAAGCTATGTTTAGGTGAGATGCTTGAGATATATTGTCCTTTTTTGTTGTTATTAGAAAGAACAAAAGGTGCTAGCAAGAGGATTATTAAATACATCAGCACAGTCTCACAAGTTAGCTCTGTGCACAGAACAACAGAAAATAAGGCTAGTAGCAATCCAAGAGATCATCTAACCCATCTTTCTGTCACAGGATTAAGTACACCAAGTACATTCTTAGCAGAAGTTCACAGAATCTTCACCACCAGAGGCATTTTCCAGCCTCTGAGGGAGATTCCCTTCCAGTGTTTGTCCAATCTCATGGCTAGAAAGTTTTCCTCTACCTAACTTGCAGCTCCTTTGCTTTTATTCAAGCCCATCCTCTTGAGTCCAATGGACCTGGAGAACAATTTGCTCAGAGATATATTAGTTACACCTCTCTCTGTGTCAGCCTTCAATTAATGTATACAAAAAGAGCCATCATACCCCTACTCAGTCTTCTCTTAGGTTCACAACTTCTACTTCTTGCAATCTTACCTTTAAGAACACATTCTCTACACCTCTTCATAAATCTTGCTCTACAGTTTATGGTAAGGATATCACACACTTCTGTGGTGTACCTGTAGTACTGTTTCAGCTTCAGTTCTTTAATTCATACTTTGTTAGTGCTCAGAAGGTCCTATTAAATACCCCTGTGCTTGCCAACTCTTCCAAGTTAGATAAAATTAGGACATCGCAAATGTGCGGAGAGCCACAGGGCTTCTGCTAAATCTCACAGTTTGTCAAAAGATATGTAGAATCATAGAATCATAGAATCAAAGAATATCCTGAGTTGGAAGGGACCCTTAAGGATCATCAAGTCCAACTCTTGACACCGCACAGGTCTACCCAAAAGTTCAGACCATGTGACTAAGTGCACAG